AACAGTGTGGTGCTTAAAGTCAGTGGGCTTTTCCTGTCCTGGAGGGCAACAGAGACATTGCCTAAAGTTGCACAGAGAAGTTCCAATATCATGTGGACTTGATGTTGTTTTCAATAAGCCTGCTTTATTTGAGAACCATAAAGCTGACCTCAATCCCCTGGTGACACATGGTGGACCACACATGGTTTCATCAGATCTTTGCTTTGTTTTGTTCTGTTGCCTGCCAAAATGGCTATAACACAGATGTGGTGGCTTGCATCCATGCTGATAACAAGTTGTAATAGGTTTCAACTACAAGGTGAAGGAGATGGCATTAACAGAAGAAAGCGAGAGAGGTTGTTTCTCCTGTAAGACTGGCTCCTTCTAAGTCTGGGAAGACCCCAGACTTCCAGTCTGTTTCTATGAAGTGCTTGAGTGAAGTGCTAACTCCTTTGGTTTTGGTTGTTGCCAGTGTTTGGAGAGTCTCAGAGGAGTCACTGCCATCAGAGGAGTCACTTACAGATACATTAGTAGAATGAACTGATAATTTCCTGTGGTTCTTTCCCTTGCGAGGGGAGTTCAGAAGAGCAGCTGTGTTGGGCTCATGCTGAGTTTCCATGTCACTAGCATTAGGTGACTGTGCAATCGTATTTTTAAACTGTGCTAATTTAATTTTCAAACTGCTAAGTCCTGTCTGAGTTTCTCCAAGTAACTCCAAGGAAGCCCCTCGAGTGCTAGACGAGTGCCTGACCGCTGTAGCTGTCTGGATGAGGACGAACAAGCTGAACACTATTCCCGACAAGACAGAGGTCCTTCGGTCGATCGTAAACCAGACCAGGGTATAGGGTGGCAACCTGTGCTGGACGGGGCTGCACTCCCCCTGAAGTCACAGGTCCGCAGTTTGGGGGTCCTCCTTGATTCTTCACTTACATTTGAGGCTCAAGCGTCGGTGGTGGCCAGGAGGGCCTTTGCATAATTAAGACTCATGCGGCAACTGCGACCGTACCTCAGGAAGGCGGATCTGGCCAAAGTGGTCCACACCTTAGTCACCTCCAGACTGGATTACTGCAATGCACTCTACGTGGGGCTGCCCTTGAAAACAGCCCAGAAATTCCAGATGATCTAACGTGCGGCCGCCAGGTTGTTAACTGGGGCTCCTTATAGGGAGCAGTCATCCCTCCTGTTCAAGGAGCTCCACTGGCTGCCATTCATTTACCGGACCCAATTCAAGGTGCAGGTTCTTACCTACAAAGCCTTGAGCGGTTTGGGACCCGCCTACCTATGTGACCGCATCTCCATATACGAACCCACACGATCCCTTCGATCATCTGGAGAGGCCCAGCTCTCGATCCCACCAGCATCGCAGGCGCGATTGATGGGGACGAGAGAGAGGGCCTTTTCGGTGGTGGCCCCTCAACTCTGGAACTCACTCCCTAAAGACATCAGACAGGCCCCAACTCTGGCAGTCTTCAGGAGGAGCTTGAAGACGTGGCTGTTCCAGTGTGCCTTCTCGGAATAATGATCCCATAGCACTTTGTCCTCCAAAGCACTTTACATTTCTTTAGGTCTGCTCGTATGCCCTTACACAAACACCATTATCACCTTTTTGTCCATGTCCCAGCATTACTTCCAATTTTAACCTTACATTTGGCCTTCCCACTGTTTTTAACTGTGTGTTGTCTTATTGATAATGTTGTATATTTTATTGTCTATTTTTTATTGCTTGTATCTTGTATTGTTGTTTGTTGTATTGTTGTTTCTTGGATTCTATGTTTCTATGATTCTATGAGTCCCTTGGGGAGATGGTAGCGGGGTACAAATAAAGTATTATTATTATTATTATTATTATTATTATTATTATTATTATTATTCTGATTTGGGAACCTCTGCAGCGTCATACTCTCTTCTAGTGATTAAGTCACAGACTAATAACTCTTTAAACTCCCCAGTAATATCAATGGAAAGTTTGAGCCATAAAGAGTCTTTCAGTTGTGCCAAAATATTAGGGATTGTGGAAGGTCAAAAGTATATGTTTGGAACCAGCATGATTTGGCAAGTAGTGATTATTTTTTAGATTGATCAATCTGTGTTGATAGTTTAGTAGTTGGGATAGTGACATTAAAATATGTTGCCTGCTGCTCTATTTAAATTCATTTTGGTGGATCTCCAGTAAGAGCTGCGTTTTCTGTAGAATATGATGAAAGCCTGGGGGAGAAGCTGGTCGAGGAGTATTGTCGAAGGCTTTCATGGCTGGAATCACTAGGTTCTTGTGGGTTTTTTCGGGCTATATGACCATGTTCTAGAGGCATTTTCTCCTGACGTTTCGCCTGCATCTATGGCAAGCATCCTCGGAGATAGTGAGGTCTGTTGGAATTAGGAAAATGGGTTTATATATCTGTGAAATGACTGGGATGGGGCAAAGAGCTCTTCTGTGCTGGAGCCAGGTGTGAATGCTTCAACTGACCACCTTCATTAGCATTTGAAGGCCTGGCTGAGCCTGGGGGAATCTTTTGTTGAGAGGTGTTAAGATGTGCCTGGTTGTTTCCTCTCTGCTGTTTTGCTGTTGTAATTTTAGAGTTTTTTAAATACTGGTAGCCAGATTTTGTTCATTTTCATGGTCTCCTCCTTTCTGTTGAAATTGTCCACATGCTTGTGGATTTCAATGGCTTCTCTGTGTAGTTTGACATGGTGGTTGTTGGAGTGGTCCAGCATTTCTGGATCCCCAAATGGCCGGAGGTAGGCCAGTCTAGTTGTTGCTGGATTTATGGTAAAAGTTTGGAAGTTAGGAATCAATTCTAATCTGTTTCTCTGTTTTGGATGATTTGTAGGTTCCTGTTTAATTACTGGGGTAAATCCGAGTTATTTTCTTCCCCCTGGGTGGCGTTTTGGACTGTGTGTCTTGGGTCATCTACGAGGGTTGAATGAAAAGTAATGCCTCCACCTTCGTTACTTGGGTTTGGATGGGAATATTTTAATAAATCAAACGCAGAAATAATCCTTAGAATGTGCTCGTTAACTACCACTATTCACTTTTCCACATAATCACCAGACAATTGGATACATTTCTGACACAATGAACATTTTCTGAAGCCATCACGGAAGAAGTCGACACTCTGTTTCCGCAACCCATTGTGCACAGATCTTCCGATAGCCAAGCAAAGCAATACTATGACCAACACATTCTTGTGAAATGCCGATTATGCTTGAAATTTCTCTCTGAAATGAGTGATACGACGATAATCCTGAATCAATCTGTCAACCTTGTGCTTGTGAAACTTGGCAGTTGATGTCACAGGATGTCCAACTCTTTGTTTGTCATGCAAGTCAGATGTTCCCACCTCAACATCTTTAAACTTTAAACATCTTTAAAAATTAGGTATAATGTATGATAATGTTAGAAACAAATGTTGGAAATGTGAATTACAGATTGGAACCTTCTACCATGCGTGGTGGACATGTCCCGTGATTAGCGCATACTGGAAAATGATAAAACAGGACTGTGAGAAGATATTAAAAATTAAAATTCAGATGAAACCAGAATACTTTTTACTGGGAATAATAGACGAAGAATTGGAATTAGACCAGAACAAGGATATTCTATTTAATTATTGTATCACTGCAGCAAGAATAGTATGGGCAAAAAAATGGAAACAGAAGGAAGTAGCCACAAAGGAAGAATGGATAAGTAAAGTGGGGGAAATTAAAGACATGGATAAACTGACCTTTGCATTAAAAGACTCATACGGAAGACCAATAAAAAGAACAGACTGGAAGCTATTCGAGGCATACATATCAACATATCTACACAGACATGATACGAAAGGAGCGCAAGAAGAAATTTCAGAAGAAGGAAGAAGACAAAAATAGATGGAACCTGAGAGAAGATGATTAAGGAAGTCAAAAGATCCCCACCACATCCCTGCACCCTTCCTTCCACCCACTCCCGATCCCATACATCCCTTCCTTTGCCCCATACTATCCTTGGTTGTCAGCACTCCTTTTCGATCCCATTCAACCCCGACCCTTTTTCCCTTCCTCAATCCTAATATCCTAACCTTATCCTTTTTACCTATATATCTGTAAGAATATGTCTTAATAAAAATTATATATATATATATATATACATCTTTAAACTTATTTGCCCAACGACGCACAGTACTCATATCAACACAATCACCATAAACAGCTTGCATTCTCTGATGAATCTCCTTTGGGGTGACACCTTCTGCTGTCAAGAATTCAATGACTGCATGTTGCTTAAGTCGCATTGACCGACTGTCTGAGCAGGGTTCCATACTTCACACTTTAACAACACAACCATTTAGTGCTAAGTATTCCCACCAAAATGGAACTGTAGAGGAGAGTCTGCTGAACAAGCCAGTACCTGCCGCATAATAGTACTGCCATCTGTTGAGGAGTTATAAAGGTCAAGGCATTACTTTTCATTCAACCCTCGTAGAATGAGCTGCTCTCCATTAAGGAGCTTAGTTCAGGAGGTGCTAGTTGATCGCCCTCTTGATCTTCCTTTTCCCTTTTCATTTTCTTCTAGTCTTCTTTTTCTAAATAGTATTTTGTGTTTTAGCCTTTTAACATACCTCTGTATTATAGCTTTTAGCCTAGACTCTAATGATTTTAATATATAATACTTTTATGAGACTGTACCCCACTCTCCTTATGCTGGTCTATGACTGTAATAAAGATTTGTTTGTTGTGGCATTAACAGAAGTGGTACTATATCAAAATAATATGAGAGGTAGAATAGGGAACTCTAAAATATAAATATTTTTGTTCACCCTTTATGCCAGTATATTAGAAGCACAGGCAAATGACCTATGGCTATGCTATCAATTCCCAAGTCATTCTGGCTGGGAGATTCTAGGATTTACTGTCTTAAAAAGTGCTTTCCCCCAAAATCTTACAAGATACCAAGTGATTTCCAACACAAAACATTTCCATTTTCATTCAATCTGATACATTCCCACCCAGTACGAAAAAGAAAATGCAAATTAAATTAAATTAACCTTTCGGAAATGAGTTTTACTCAGTTTCCCACTCGCTTGCTTGTTGTAGACAAGAAAAGCATCTCTAATGCTGGCTTCCTGATTCAGGATACCATCCCTCAGTCTTTCAATTACTTCATCAACAGTTCTATTCTTGGTGTTTCTGTAGGCATGGTCTTCAATCTGTTTCATTCTAAAATTGGAAAATGGGCAACGAAGAGAGGCATCTTAAATACAGTACTATAAAATATTTGATTAAGCATTAATGATCTGTACGGTTGCAATCATAGAGCACATACGCACATTTACAAGCTTTGTGCGAAGTGACAGTTGTTTATAAAGCTATAATTACCAGCTCTTCAGCTTTCAAGGGCCACATGATCAATCTGAAAAGGGAATTAATGTAGAGGCAACTATTAAACTGATTGTATGACAGGAGAATCCTGGAGATGTCAGGGACTCTGCTAAGATTTACTTAGGTTGAACATTGAGATAATCTTATCTAGACCACCACACAAATAGAGATACCCAGTCTATCAGGAACCAACTTCAGTTCAGTTGAGGCAGTGGACGTTATATGACAAAGAAATGCACACATGGAATTGGGGGCCTCTACTAAAAAACACAGGGTGCCTTTTTAAAGCTAGCAGTGATTTGCTCATGAATAGAGTTCTCTTTGGACATCAATCATGGGTTGGGCTATATAACCACTACTGACAGGTGACATAGGCTCCTTCTACATTGCCATATAAAATCCAGATTATCTGCCTTGAATTGGCGTGTCAGCGCTGCTTGTGTTATTGGATCTCACAGCAGCATTTGACACAGTTGACCACAATCTTTTGACCCACCGCCTTGCTGCTGTTGGAGTCAGGGGGACAGCTTTAAATTGGCTGTCCTCCTTTCTTCACAACCGTGGACAGCGAGTGGAGAGGGGAGGCCTGGTCTCTGAGAGGTCCCCTCTATCTTGTGGGGTTCCTCAGGGGGCCATTCTCTCCCCTCTGTTGTTTAACATCTATATGCGACCACTTGCTCAGCTGGTTCGAGGTTTTGGGCTTGAGTGTTACCAGTACGCTGATGACACTCAGCTGGTGCTGAAGATGGAAGGCTGACCGGACTCTGTACCCGATTGTTTCCATCAGTGCCTCGAGGCCGTTACTGGATGGCTGCATGCCAGCAGGTTGAGGGTGAATCCAGCAAAGACGGAGATCCTATGGCTGGGTCAACCGGGCAGTGGGGATATCCAGCTGCCTACCCTGGATGGCGAGGCGCTACGCCCGTCATCATTGGTAAAGAGTCTGGGAGTCCTTTTGGACCCTCTGCTGACGATGGAGGCCCAGGTCTCCGCTGTTAGCAGAACCGCCTTTTTTCATCTGCGGCAGGCTAGACGGCTGGCCCCCTACCTGTCCAGGGACGACCTAGCTACAGTGATCCAGGCTACAGTCATCTCAAGACTGGAGTACTGTAACGCCCTCTACATTGGCCGTCCTCTGTCAGTGATCCGGAAGCTCAAGTTGGTACAAAATGCAGCTGCTCGGCTTCTTGCGGGAATTCCGATGAGATGCCACATAACACCAATCTTACTACTGCTGCATTGGTTACCAATTGAGCACCGGATCACTTTCAAAGTGATGGTACTCACCTTTAAGGCCTTGTATGGTCTGGGGTCGATGTACCTGAGGGACCACCTCACCCCCTACCAACCCCAGAGATCCCTCTGTTCTGAAGACCAAGATTTGTTGGAAATTCCCAGTATCAAGACCTTGCGTCTCACAGCAACCAGACGCAGAGCCTTTACAGCAGTGGCACCATCACTCTGGAACACTCTGCCACCTGAAGTCCGTGCCTTGTGGGACTTATCAGCTTTCCACAGGGCATGTAAGACATATCTGTTTCGACAGGCCTTTGATATTTTATATTGTTGTTTTTAAATTGTTTTAAATTGTTGTTGAATTTGAGCCTGTTCTTGTAAGCCGCTCCGAGCCCCAGGGGAGTGGTGGCATATAAGTTCGAATAATAAATAAGTAAATAAATAAATAAAATTATATTTATATTTATTTATTTATGACATTTATATGCTGCCCTTCTCACCCCAAAGGGGACTCTGAGTGGCTTACAAGGTATATATTGCATACAATATATTATATTATTAGCATAGTACAATATCAGCATTAAATAATAATAATAATAAAAAAACTTTATTTATACCCCGCTCCATCTCCCCCTTACATGAGGCCACACCCATCAGTACAGTACATACATTATAATAAAACAACTGAACAAATGAACAACAATGATAAAATATTTAAAAATTATAAAATAAAAAAGAATAATTTGCAGCCCACTTGTCACACAGAACTTTGTGTCATTCAGTAAAATCGATCAGCAGTAAACCTAAAGCACCACTAACTTATGAAGATAGTTATCAGACAATAGGCTAATAGCCTATGGCTCTGAGTTAAATTAGATTTTAAGGAGATTAATTTTTTTAAAGCCAATCACAAACAAACCATGCAAAATACATAGGTGGGAAAAATAACATGCTACAGCAAACAGTAATCTTTCACTAGTGGAGGACTATATCTTCTAAAAATATCATATAAGCATATCACCAGACTGATTCTAAGATAGCTTTAAGAGAGGAATGAATTAATTCATAAAATATAACTTCAAGGATGCTAGACACAACAGCTTAAATGCTAGGTGTTGCAGATAAAAACAGAAGGTCCTCAAAGGACAGAAGATGCTATGCAATTCCAAAATATCACTAGATTTCATCAAGAAAGAATGTAAAGGTCTTTCCCCAGGCAAAGTAGGAAAAAACCATCAAGGGAAGATTAAATCTTGACAATGATAAGTAATCCTCTAGAGACTTCTGCACTTTTCTACCTTTGCATCTAAACCTTTAGCAGGGAGCTGCGTACACTTGCAATCACTTATACAATACCTCTCGGTATGATCCATTGGTTTTTTTCCTTCTCTGTGTTGACTTTCTCGGGAGGAAGGGCTGCTGGCCATGACAATTAATTCTTTTGGCAAATCGGCAACTCCTAGACTATGTAACAGCATCCTGTATAGGACTCCTTCTGTAGTATCATCTTGGTATTTCTGATATAATCTAGACAGAGCGTATTGAAAATTATTATTAACATTTCCTAAATAATTCATACATTTTCTGAACATGAGGAAGAACTTCCTGACTGTGAGAGCTGTTCAGCAGTGGAACTCTCTGCCCTTGAGTGTGGTGGAGGCTCCTTCTTTGGAAGCTTTTAAACAGGGGCTGGATGGCCATCTGTCAGGGGTGATTTTATTATTATTATTATTATTATTATTATTATTATTATTATTATTATTATATTTGAATGCAATATTCCTGCTTCTTGGCAAGGGGTTGGACTGGATGGCCCATGAGGTCTCTTCCAACTCTTTGATTCTAAGGAAACCTCCCATGGCTGTTTTTGCAGTCAGGCTCCAAAAATTATTAATTCTCTTGTATATAAAGAAATGGCTTGGTAAATACTAGCTGTTAAGAGAGAATGTCAGTGCAAAAATAAATTGTTGCTCCTCCTCTCTTTGGTGGTACATTTGTGAACTGTTTGTTTTGAACTGGACTTTTTATGCATGGAATGTTTTATTTTGTCCATGTTGTATAATAAATACAAGATGTGAACTGCAAAGTCAGCTGATCAATAACCTCTACTTAATAATAATAATAATAATAATAATAATAATAATAATAATACTTTATTTATACCCCGCTCCATCTCCCCCTGCGGCTTACAAGAGGCCACGTCCACCAATACAGTATACACAATATAATACAAAAACATAGTAGCACCAAAAATTTAAATAATTAAATAATTAAATACTTACATAATTGCTTAATATTTAGAACAGAGGCATACAATATATTTGCTCAAAACACAAAATTAAGGATTGCTATAAAGTATCTTATGAAAGTGGTGTAGTGGATGGATTTTTGGACTATGACTAGAGACCAGGCTTCAAATCCTTGCTCCACCATAGAAAACCACTGTATGACCCTGGCTATGGCCCCTTATATGTTGGCATTAGCAGAGTATCGCAGAAGCTCAGAATAATGGACTCTGGAGTATCCGGTAAAAGCAGGTTTTTTGCTTTACTTAAGCAGCTCAAATTAGACAACACACACCATCAGCGGACAGACGTGAAGAAACACAAACCGAAAGAGATAGGAACTAACACAAACTGCAGCTGGAAGACGGCTTATCTCTGGCACTCCCTAATCTTTCACAGAGCAACAATTCAGGGTCACATTCTCACAGCTTGTTACTTTGCTGTTTAACCCTTCTGTGTCAAACTACATCCTGGCATTACAATTCTATTACAATCACAATCCTATCACATAAAATTACATTTAAACACACATCATACATGAATTACACACTGACATTCTATACTGCTACATAAAATCCAGATTATCTGCTTTGAACTGGATTATATAGCAGTGTAGACTCATATAATCAAGTTCAAAGCAGATATGGATTATCTGCTCTGATAATCTGGATTATATGGCAGTGTGGAAGGAGCCCAAATCAGCCTCAAGAGGAAGGCAATGGCAAACTTCATTTGAACAAATCTTCATCTTTCAAGATATGATGCTTGAAAACCAAATTTAAAATTTGGGGAGCAGGAAGTAGGGCACTGGGACTGTGGCACAGCTGGCTGGGAATCAGCTGCATTAGATCACTACTGACCAAAAGGTCATGAGTTGGAAGCCGGCCTGGGTCGCAGTGAGTTTCCGACCATTGTGTAGCTCACTGTAGACCTTTGCAGCCCAAAAGACAGTTGCATCTGTCAAGTAGGAAATTTAGGTACCACTTATGTGGGAGAGGCTAATTTAACTAATTTACAAAGCCATAAAAAATCTCCAGCAAGCATGCAAAGAATGAGGAAGTACTCCGTCAGTATCACAAATGGACGGTGAAGCAACAGTTCCCTTGATGGCCAAAATACCCTCATAAAGCTGGAATGTTAAATAGCCTCTGAGTGTCCGTCTATATATGTTGTGTGTCTAAGGCATTGAATGTTAGCCATGTATATGTACATTGTAATCCACCCTGAGTTCCCTGTGGGGTGAGAAGGATGGAATATAAATACTGTAAATAAATAAATAAATTCCAGTTCTCCAATATGGATCATTCTCATCCCAGTTGTTACACCTGTATCACATCATACAGAGAACACAGCTACAAATATGAAATGAAATGTACAGATCCGCATGAAATGAAATTTGCATTTACAACTTGATTCTTCAGTGGGAATGTCACCTGCTAGAGAGCCATCTGCAGCCAATCTACTTGTTATTAACTGAAGGAAGTGGTAGATTGCACTCTGGTTACAACAGGGGCTTATCTCAACATTTCTAAGTCAGTAACAATGTTACAGAACATAAAAACTTACAAAAGTGGTTTGTTCTTTTTTTTTTTTCAGTGCTGGAAATCTTCTCTTTAATATCACATTTCCTAAAGCTATGTTAAAATCCCCCTGCGTGGTTATGACACTTCCTGCCAGGCTTATGTCCAAAATCAGCATGTTTAAGGAATCATGTCAACCTGATAAGTGAAAATGCAGCAGCTTGGATCAGGAATCCTTTGTCAGGACAATGTTTATGAAGGAACACTGCCATCCACTGTTCCTTGGAGTAATGTGATTCATCTTGACAAAGACACACAAATTAAACTCCAGATTGCTGCTGGCAGACAGAAATGATATCTGGAAAAGGGTGCGCAATCACTACGTATCACTGAATCCTGATATATTTTATGTTGTTTGTTTCCAGAAAAGCATTAAAGGCTCATGCAAAATCAACAGTTGTCAGGGCATTCAAATTCCTGGGATGTTTTGGTTTGGTCATTGCTAGTTCTGTTTCATAAAGATTTTGTAATTGCAAGAGACCACAGATTTGAATTGAGACAATGGTTTTACACCACACTCCATGTGCTAACTGGCTCACCAAGTGTTAAGATGTTTGTATCATCGGCAACTGTTCTGTGAATGGCTAATGTAAGTCATTAGTCCCTGTCAATCCTTATTGCTGTAGAGGTCTAAAATTGTAGCCTTTACTAGGGACCAGGCCCGTAGCCAAGATTTTGATGGGGGGGGGGGGCTGAGTCTGAGCGAAAGAGGGTCTACCCTAGCAAACCTTTTGTATTATTACCCCAATACCCCCATGCATATGGGATATATTGAGTATAGTAATCAGATCATGATATGAATAAACATAAAAGATGGGAAGGTGGGAAGGCCTGGAAAAAAATTGAAAAATGGGGGGGGGCAGCTTTTTTCCTGTTTTTTCCCCAAAAATTTGTAGAATATCTTCTTCCAATGATAAATAGCATATCTATGACATGGTGTTGTTGTTATTGTTCACTCGTTTAGTCATTTTGGACTCTTCATGACCATATGGACCAGCCCACGCCAGAGCTCCCTATCGGCCGTCACCTCCCCCAGCTCCTTCAGGGTCAATCCAGTCACTACCTGCGTGACTGCATCTCCATATATGAACCCATACAATCTCTCCGATCATCTGGTGAGGCCCTGCTCACAATCCCACCTGCGTCGCAAGCGCGATTGGTGGGGACGAGGGACAGGGCCTTCTCCATGGTGGCCCCCCAACTCTGGAACTCTCTCCCCAAGGATATCAAACAAGCCCCAACATTGGCAGTCTTTAGGAAGAGCTTGAAGACGTGGTTGTTCCAGTGTGCCTTCCCAGAATAGGGAACTCCTAGCATCATGTTCCAATTGCACTTTACTAGAGATTAAGATTGTCTGCACACTGCACTTATCTCCAAAAACCTATCCATCTCACCTGTCATGTTCAGCATTTTAAAATTTTAATCATTACATTTGGCCCTTTAGTTTTAAGTCATGGTGTTATTGTCTAATGCTTATTGCTATTGTTTTAATGTTTATTGCTTGTTTTATGAGTTTATTTATTGTTGTATTTGTTATGCTGTTGTTTTATTGATGTGTTGGGCCTCGGCCTCTTGTAAGCCGCACCGAGTCCTTCGGGAGATGTTAGCGGGGTATAAATAAAGGTTTATTATTATTATTATTATTATTATTATTATTATTATTATTAAAGGATGCCATCCATCCATCTTGCCCTTGGTCTTCCTTTTTCCTTTTTCCTTCCATTTTCCCCAGCATCATTGTCTTCTCTAAGCTTTCCTTTCTTCTCATGATGTGGCCAAAGTACTTCATCTTGGCCTCTAATATCCTTCTCTCCAATGAGCAGTCGGGCTTTATTTCCTGAAGTATGGACTGGTTGGATCTTCTTGTGGTCCAAGGCACTCTCAGAACTTTCCTCCAGCACCATGACATGGTATTCAAACTATATAACATGAAGGCCTTGGTGAAAGATTTCTGAGACTTTTTGTTTCAACAAAGTATTGTCGAAGGCTTTCATGGCCGGAATCACTGGGTTGTTGTAGGTTTTTTTGGGCTATATGGCCATGTTCTAGAGGCATTCTAGAACATGGAGAGAATGCCTCTAGAACAAGGCCACATAGCCCAAAAACCCTACAACATCCCAGTTTTTCAACAATTTAAATTTTTTTTCCCAGGAAAATAGCTTTGAAAACAAAACGGGGGGAAAAACTCTTTTCCACCCATTTTTTCTAGGTTTTTTTCCAGGCCTTCCCATCTCTAGTCCTATCACAAAACGCTTGCCCCTTTCTGTCTGTAATCTGTTGGAATCTATTTACAAAACATTGCAAAAACAGAGTAATTGCACATGGGATTCTTATCATGTTTTTTACTTTAATACGGTTCTGAGGTAGTGTTTTTACATGTGATCAGAATATCAGTATACATCCCGTTAGCTAGAATCTCATGAGAACAGTAGTTCAAGACTTCCAGGCTATGCCACTGCTCAATATTAGGGGAAAAAATAAAATAAAAAGTGATGTAGGGAGGCATTCAAATAGATTGGGAGGAGCCAGTCATCTGTGGTGTAGTGAGTCAAAAGCACAGTATTTTCAAATGATAAAAATTGGGTGTGATGGGGTCAGTATGCATCTTGTCTAAATACAGTATGATAAAAAAGATGGAATGCGTACTTATATAAACAGAGTATATTCCCATGTGATATGATCCTAGGTCTATTTGGAAACTTGAGCAATATTTACTGCACCCAATACATATCAGAACAAAACCCTATGAAATCCATGGGGTCACCATAAGTTGACAGGTGACTTCCACACACAGAGATCACAAAAACTCACACTACTTTCAGGTGCCACAATATTGTGCTTTTTAGCATACACCAGGAGAAGTTAGAGGGTGGGGCCAGTGGGGATGTTTTTAAGATTTTAATTATAGAAAGAAAAAAATCCCTAAAAATCAGGGGGATGATCCAAACATTATAAAACTTGGTGGGTTAAGAGTGGTAGCTGTGCCCTCCCTGTGTGGTGATTTTCACCCCTTTAGCCCTAAAACTGAGGGAAAGGGGAACCTGGGAAGGCTGCCCATGTTGGTCAGTGATCCGAATTTTTTTGTTGTTTCGGACCTAGAACAAAAAAATTCATTCGGAAAAGGGCCCGTTTTTGAGATAGGCACTTGAAAATGAAAACAGGGCCTTATGGATGAAACAAACAGAAATGGATAGTGATTCTATACAAATGCCCAAGATTAATTGCTACTCCAGACTGGCCTTGGATTTTGTGACTCATGTAGAGGAGCCCAAAGAAAAGAGGAAACAAGAGAAGTGGAAGCCGGTAAAAGAAAAATTAATCACTGGATGCAATCTGGAAGATGCTTTCAATTGGTCTCTAGAAAACAACATAGCTAAGCTGACCTGATGGTTTTATTACACATGTACCTATCATTAATTTGGAATAAAATGTTTAATGTAACAAATGCAACAATTTTTGGTAGAATCAGAATCTTACCACATTCTTTCCTATGGTACCATATTTTCTGTTGCAAGAAATGACCAGGAACTCATCTACTTTGTTAACTGCAATGTATGTATACTCTGGAAATCATCTGTGAAGAAATGCTACACACATGATTGAATGGAAGTATGCTCTTTACTTATTTATTGATAATTGTATGTATGCTAATGAATAGCTCAGGAATGCAGCTGTTTCTAATTATCAAAGATTCACAAAGAGATGACAAAAATTTTCAAAAACAAGATTGATATCTCCTGTACTGGTTACTTACGCAATAAAATGGTCGTCATTTAATGAGGGACAATATAGCTGAAGAACTTTCCGGAAATTATTTCTGCTGACAATGCCATTATTTTGTGGGTCAAATGCCTGCAGTGCTTTGCTAAACTCATTCCAATATCCTTTGACTTGCTCAGCCAATACATCTTCCGCCTAGTATGCAAGCATTTGGACAAGGAATTCATAGATTTACCAAGAGTGGTAGGACTTCGTATAGCAAAATTATGAAAATAATTTTTAATTTTTGTTTAAAAAGCAAGGTTTGGGTTACTTACAATCTTCCATGCTTCAAGGACAGATGTTGGTTTTTTAGCCTTCCTTGAACCACCAATCAATTTGGAACTTGCCTGAGTAAAAATGAGTATGGAATTAAAACTTTCCCAGTGGAACATTTCCTAAGATGGAGTCCAATAATTTTTGTGCATTTTTAAAAATCTCATCTGGCACTGTTTAAAATCAGCAATGAATAAAAAACGAATAGCCCCAAATTAATATTTGCGTTGAATGTACCCAAAGACATATAAAGGAAATACCTAGTGGAAGTTATTAAGTTGGGCCTCATCTGCCAATAAAAGCAAAAGTCAGCCTTTATTTGGATTTGTGTAATTCGTGAGATGTGCTCCAAACACCAAACACCAAATCCAAATACCAGACATACAGAACAGTTTGGAGAAAAAAGACACAGCTTTCTTTGTTTACAGATGTATATGGCCCACACATGTGGCTGCATCCAGGCGTCAACCAACTCATCTGATTATCAATGAGCCCACAGATCTGACCCAGAGCTGGCTTTTCATATGTCTAGGATATTTATGCAGTATTTCTAAATCCAGTAAAAACAAATTTCATGCACTGTGCTGTCACGAGCTGGGCCTGTAATAATTGTCTTTTGAACAGGATGTGCACTTTGTGCCCAGCGGGAAGCCAGGGTGCCTTGATAGAGAGGCCCTAAGGATTTTCCTCTGGAAGAGTCTTTAGAGGCTTGAAAGGTTTAACAAAGTCCTTTATTATTGAACAAATTAAACAAATACTTCTTCAATCTTCAACGACAATCATACAAATGACTGGTGGCTTTCTTTATCTTGTCCACAAGGGACAGGCAACTGGCTTTGAGAACTGTTTCTTTTCTTTTGAAAGGAAAACCTTTTTTAACCTCTCCCAGGCAATCTACTATCTAGGCTTTGCTGATGTGGGTCCTACTACTAGTTCCAAACTACGTCTTGGGTCCCGAGTAGACCTACCAGTCAAGGCTTTGTAGATTCTCCAGCTGGAGTTCTTTGGGTCTGTAAAACTGTTTCCCCCGAATGCTGTAAGGCTGAGAGGCTGTAAATTCCCAGCCAGAGTTTTGGGAATATTTCTCCCCGGAAGCTGTTTCCCCCAAAGCTGTTTCCCCCCGAAGCTGTAGTAAATGAAGCTTTTCTGCAGGTGGAGCTGGTCCACATCCTGTAGCTTAATTTTCTTTTGTAAGACTGAACTAAAAATGGCTCCCTCTCCTCCCAGGGCCCTGAGGAAAGGGGCGGAACCAAAACTTAACAATGATTGATGGGTCATTGGCCCTATAAATGCAAACCAAGGGAAGTCACCTTTGCAGAATGCCTGAAACCTTGGAATGCATGCAGACATTTAACAGAAAGAAAATGAAGTTGGAGCTCCTGGTACAGCTGTACCAGCACATGCACTGTAGATGGAATTTACAAAGTTCTGAAAGTTTGAGTCTTGTCCAGAGTCCTTTAGGATCTGATACAAGGTAAAAAAAAAATCAGATCTCAGATCCTAATATCATTCCCCATAAAAACCAAGCTCCTCTTCCATTATTTTACCAAAGATAGAGACTAACAAGGAAGGCCAGGGTTTTGTTACAGGGGTCTTCTTAGATATCATGGAGCCACATTTTCTGCAATGGAAATAATTGGGGTCATGTTTATAGAGCCCTCCTTTCTTGAGCTCTCTGTGTAGTTGCACATCGCTTCATGTTTTCCGCACGTATGTCTTTCTACATAGATGTCTGAGAGCAGCAAAAGGTGGTCAAACAGTGCTACAATATGTGAGAGATGACAGTTTTGTAGGATATGAAGATGCTCTCTGCAAAAGCATGATTCATCTCAAAAACTGAGATAAGGGTTCAGGGCAAATGTCTTGAAACTATGAACTTTTTTAAGAAAAAAAAACCTTCTTGAAGATGAATTTGAATGATTCCAGGCTGTTCCATAATTTATTTATTTATTGCAGAACAATTGAAACAACTTATTATTTAACAGGAAATCCTGCACCATGCATACTGGGTATGCCATCTAATTATCACCAAGTCCTTCTCCCTTCCTCAAAATTCTGCTTATATTTGCCTTAGCCAAAGAGTAAATCAGTGTTTATTTGAGTACCGAGACCCTAAAAATAATCTAATAAACATGAAATATCATGAAAGCTTCTGATGAAACTATAAAACCTTTGGTGGAGGGGCTGTTTATCTTAGTATAATGCAGCAGTAAAAATACTGATAGCATAGTTTCACTCCAAAGAAGATAAGATGCTGAATAAAAATTATAGTCAGAAGCTACACTGTATTTCAACCATATCATATTATAGTTCCAGGAAAAGGTTGTATGTGCATACGTGTTTTAAAAAAGGACAATATCACCCTTTTAAATTTCAAGTCATTGCAAAGATATGTCCACTAAAACTGAAAATGCTGCTGTTAAACCCAGACAACATTAATTGTACTAAGGCTGCATCTACACATTACCCTGGGGTCAATCCAGAATGTGAGAAGCAGGCCCATAGCCAGGATTTCGTTTTGGGGGGGGGCGCTAAAAAATTTTCAGGGGGGGTTTCGGGGGGGCTGAGTTTCGGGGGGGGGCTGAGTCTGAGTGAAAGAGGGTCTAGCCTAGCAAACCTTTTATATCATTACCCCAATACCCCCATGCATATGGGATATATTGAGTATGGTGATCAGATCATGATATGAATAAACATAACAGTTTAAATAATGCACCAGTAAGGCCTTTTCGCGAACCACCATGAGAATTTCGGGGGGGGGGGGGCTGAAGCCCCCCAAGCCCCCCCCCCCCCCCCCCCTGCCTGGTGAGAAGTCTATATGGCCAGACTCTGTGCCAATAAGGAGGGAGGAAGGAGTTATGATCATGCGGTATCACCAAACTTGATTTGGTGCCACTGCAGAACGATCCTTACCACCCTCATTCTCACTACCACCTTTCCTCAGGGCTGATCTGGAGTGTAGCTGTGACCAGACAGGAAATGCCTGGTGGTCATTGCGCATGAGATAGAGTGATGTCAACCAGGACACCACAGCAACATGAGAGAGGAGAGGAATGGCCCTTCCTTCCCCTTCTCCATTCTCAGATTGCCTTTGTGCCCCAACTGACATCATTCCAGTCAATGAGTAAGGGCCACCAAGAAAAGGTAAGGTGATGGCCAAGGACAGTGGTTCTCAACTCTCCTAATGCTGCGACCCCTTAATACAGTTCCTCATGTTGTGGTGACCCCCAATCATAAAATTATTTCCATTGCTACTGTAATTTTGCAACTGCTATGTATCGTCATATGAATATCTGATATGCAGGATGTATTTTCATCCACTGGACCAAATTTGGCACACATACCTGATATGCCCAAGGTGGAGTTGGGGGGGGGGGAGGATTGATTTTGTCATTTGGGAGTTGTAGTTGCTGGGATTTATAGTTCACCTTCAATCAAAGAGCATTCTGAACTCCAGCAATGATGGAATTGAACCAAACTTGGCACACAGAACTCCCATGACCAACAGAAAATATTGGAAGGGATTGGTGGGCACTGACTTGAGTTTTGGAGTTGTAGTTCACCTACATCCAGATAGCACTGTGAACTCAAACAATGATGTATCTGGACCAAACTTGGCACGAATACTCAATATGCCCAAATGTGAACACTTGTGGAGTTTGGGGAAAATAGACCTTGACATTTGGGAGTTGTAGTTGCTGGGATGTATATGTTCACCTACAATCAAAGAATATTTTGAACCTCACCTATGATAGAATTGGGCCAGACTTCCCACACAGAATCCCCATGACCAACAGAAAATACTGTGCTTTCTGATGGTCTTTGGCGACTCCTCTGACACCCCCTTGTGACCCCCCTCGGGGTCCTGACCCCCCAGGTTGAGAACCACTGGCCTAGGAGGAATCAGCTGGACTCTGTCCTAATGCAGGACAAATATGGAGGATTACTGGCCCCAAATTTTAGTATAGGTGTAGATGGGCCCAGTGGTGAAGGTTGATGGGAACTGCAGCTGAATCCCTGCAACAGGTATTAGAGTTATGACAGAATACCAGAGCCTTGCAACCATCTGAAGATCATTTATTTAAGTTCAACAGAGTATCTACAAGAGTGATCTGCTGGTCGACTTTTGATCATCTTAACATCACTTGGAAAAAGTAGTAAACAATGTTGATATTTACAAGAGAATATAAAAAGCAATACCTTGACTTAAGAGTTTAATTTGCTCTGTGACTGAGCTCTTAACTCAAAATGATCTTGTCTGAAAGCAAAATTTCCCATTGAAAACACGATTTGTGCTACTTGTTTTTAAATAAGAAAATGTACTTTATAAATAACAAACAATGTAAAATGATAAATGCACATTCGCATGGAACAATAAAAAAGAAAGATAAATTTTAAAATGGTAGAAGTACAAAGTTATGGCAAAGAAACCCATTTGAGGCAACAAAATGTGTATTGGCCAGTGTACCCGCAAGGCAAAACCTGCACATTGACATGGAACAATAAAAAAGAAAGATCACCTTTAAAATGATAGAAGCACAAAGTACAAAGTGAAGAGGGAGAAGTATCATTTTCTTCATACTGTACTCATTCCAGTCTCCCTCCCTCTCTTGCTCTCTCCACCTCTCTTTCTTCATGAAGTCAAACATACCAGGTATAAAAACCACCAAATTCAACTAACTTACTAACACAAAGTTCCTCAGAGCGGACAAGAGTAAAGCAGACAAGAGCACGAGGCATGAAAGCTGCTTCCTTGAAGCCTTAAATCCCTGTACTCTCACACTAGCACTCCCACTGGCTCTAGCTCTTAACTCAAAACACTGCTCTTATGTCAAAGCAAAACCAGGGCTGAGGGACAGCTCTTAACTTAAAAGGCTCTTAAGTTGGAATAGTCTTAAGTAGAGGTTCAATTGTACCTGTTTTTAAGAAGAACCTATTCGTAATTTCCAAAAGAATTAAACTAATCACTGCTTGGTTCATTGGAATATATGCTTAAAAGGACAGGTATAATTCCTACCAGTGACATTTCCTCTGTGGAAACTACACATGCTGCAAACAAAGAGAGAATAGTCCCATCCACCCACATACACATACACATACATAAACTGGATTCTGATTTTATTGTTGAGGCACTAATGATTGTTATACTGATGTTTAATGATTTATGTTACAATTGTTTTTAATTGCCCTATACTTGTTTCGTGATGTTTTGTATCGATGTTGTTCACCGCTTTGAGTCGCCTGAGGGCTGAGAAAAGCGGTATATAAATAAAGTAAGTAAGTAAATAAATAATAAACAATCCACTAGATAGTCTGAAATCTTTCCTCAAACTGAAAAGGCAGGGGAGAATCTAAAATGGAGATCTTTCCCTGGGAGAAAAGGCGGTCCCTAAACTCAAAGAGCTGCTCTCTAAGCCAATAGTTGCAAAGAGGCCTGCAGACTCTGATACTATTAACCTTTAGGACTCTTGCAAAGCTGCAGCAGCCCTGGGAGAAAATGCAAGAGGAAGCAACCTCAAGCAACTATAAAGTAAGGCAAATCAGGCTCCTGAGAGACGGAACAAAACATTTGTTCTATGCTCTTAATGTTTTAAAAGGTTTTGATCTTGATTTTAGCATGTTGCTTTATTGGCATTGTGATTTTATATCAAATGCCTTGAGACTCTGTGCCAGGAGAAATATGCAGTATAAATAAAGCAATTGATTGACTGGTAGATAAATACATAGATATAGAGCCTACATAACCACAATAAACAGGAGAATAAGAGTACCGAGGTATTTGTCAACTGAAGATAAAACCGAAGACAACACTATCTACACCTGATGCAATGGGCTGTAGTCTATAAAAGCATATATAACAATAAACCCATCAGTGTTTAAGGTGCCCCAAAAATATTTGCTGTCTCTCCTGCACCAGATTTAGCACTGCCATTGCTCTGCTATCATAAAGCACACCGTGCAGCATTTTTGGAAAATATAACCAAATTAATCGGAAAGAACTCTTGCTTCATGCAGAATGGAAACCACAGCAGTCCAGCAAATACTATTTTACCATATAATCAGAGGATTTGTACAACTGAAGATATAATGTTTCCCCACTCTAATTTGTGCACATACAACAGGTTTAATCACAAGAATGCTGAATAATAGAGAACAGTACATAGTTCTAAAATAATAATAATAATAATAATAATAATAATATCACACATTCCTAGACGCTTGGGAAGTGTTCGACATATGATTTTGTGATACGAAATCCAGCACATAGATCTCGTTTGCTGTGACATACTGTGCTTTTGTGTCAATAATAATAATAATAATAATAATAATAATAACTTTATTTATAACCCACCACCATCTCCCCAAGGGGACTCGGGGCGGCTAATATGAGGCCAAGCCCAGCGATACATTACAGCAACATAAAGTAAAGTTGCAACAGCACAACAACAGAGGGGAAGCAGGCAGGGACATCTAATTACCTCTCAACAAAAGTTTGCTCCAGGCACAGTCAGCCATTGTATGCTAATCAAGGTGGTCAGTTGAAACATTCACACCTAGCTCCAGCAGACAAGAGTCCTTTATCTCACCCTGGTCATTCCACAGATATATAAACCCTTTTTCCTAGTTCCAACAGACCTCACTACCTCTGAGGATGCTTGCCATAGATGCAGGCGAAATGTCAGGAGAGAATGCCTCTAGACCATGGCCATATAGCCCAAAAACCTACAACAACCCAGTGATTCCGGCCATGAAAGCCTTCGACAATACAAGGAAGATAATTTCTAAGCAGCAGGACAACTAAGAAAAAACCTATGCACATGTCACCATCAGCATGTAGCTTATAGCAGGCATTGTGAAAAAGTTGTCCCAATTCAATCACAAAGATCGAATGGAGCAAAGAAAGAAGCCATAACCTTAATCTAAATTGTGACATATTGTTTAGAAGTGATACAGGATACCAGTGCAAATTTTAATTGTTGCAAGATGCTGCTGGACATCCTGTTTCCAGATATATGCTACCATCCTCAGAGGCAGCTACTGGATACAACAGGGGTCAACAAACTTTTTAAACAGAGGGCCAGGTCACAGTCCCTCAAACTGTTGGTTGTTGTTCATTCGTTCAGTCATCTCCGACTCTTCGTGACCTCATGGACCAGCCCACGCCAGAGCTCCCTGTCGGCTGTTACCACCCCCAGCTCCCTCAAGGTCAGTCCAGTCACTTCAAGGATGCCATCCATCCATCTTGCCCTTGGTCGGCCCCTCTTCCTTTTGCCTTCCACTTTCCCCAGCATAATTGTCTTCTCTAGGCTTTCCTCCAAACTGTTGGAGGGCCGAATTATAATTTGAAAAAAGCATGAATTCCTATGCACACTGCACATATCTTATCTGTAGTGCAAAAATCACTTAAATAATACAATAATTGAAATGAAGAACAATTATAACAATTATAAACTTATTAGTATTTCAATAGGAAGTGTGGGCCTGCTTTTGGCTGATGAGATAGGACTGTTGTTGTTGTTGCTGTTGTTGTTGTGTGCTTTCAAGTAGTTTCAAACTTAGGTTGACCCTGAGCGAGGGCCGGGTAAATGACCTTGGAGAGCCTTATCCGGCCCCCAGGCCTTAGTTTGAAGACCCTTGGGATACAAGATCTAGAAAACAGTCAGGGAAGGGAATATCTTTCCCATAACCCCCCACACAGTGTGGTAAATGTAAATTCTTTCACATTGTGTCTGACCCCTTTGAGTGCTCCTTTTTCAAAGCAAAAAAAATATATCATAATGCTTTGCTGCACAGCGTCTTTTGCTATATTGGGAGACCAAGTAAAACATCTACTTTTATAGTTTCCTGCAGTTTGCCCCATGAAATTAATTCTTTCCTTCTTGGTCCTTTATCAAAGCACAAGTTGAAAATTCATGACACTTGCTAAAAGTTTATTCAGCTCAGGATGGGAAAGGACTTAGCATCTTGAACCATTTCTATGAAAATATTTCTATTTTTTAAAATTTTCAATGGTTGAGCTATATTTAAAGCATAAGACTTACTTACTGTTTGGTTCTACTGATGATTCAGATATGTACTGCTGAACACTTACCAGTGCATCCTTGTCTTCAAACAGGTTCAAAAACATATTGTAGCTGAGCTCTCCGGTGTGTTCTGGATCAATTATCTTGATTAATTCTTGGAAGTCATCATCACTTATTCGGAACATGATGCAATCTAAAATGCGACGGAGTTCATTCCTGGTAATCTTTCCATCATGATTCTTTTAAAAAGCAAGCGAGTAGAAAAGATTTTTTGTGTCATTCTACTACACTGTGATGTTAACTTTTAAAAGTACGTTCTGCTTCAAGAAAAATTTTCTCCAATATTCCAGAGTTATTTAGTGAATTTCAAATTTTGTTTTATGATTTTTTTCAATCATTTACCATTGCATGGTTATTTCCTGTAAGAGTTTGCAATGCCCCAAAAGTTGGTGATAGATCTCTAAACAGTCATTCATAAATAAATGAATTCCAATTTTGCTTTTTGCTAGTTACAACTTGTTTTGGGACAACATAATGAAATCAGACAGCAAATTAATAACCAAGATATATCATAAAATATTGGAATGGACTACTGAAACAAATAAAGGATTTCATGATCAATTGGGCATCAAATGTAGGACATACAATAAAATTAGAGAAATGGGAAAAGATTTGGAATCAAAAGATCAAATACACATATGCTTACGAACTGAGGGAAAACTGGATGAAGATTATTTATAGGTGGTACCTTACTCCACATAAGATTTCAAAAGGTTATAAAAACACATCAGATAAGTGTTGTAAATGCGCCCAACAAACAAGGACCTTTTTCCATGTATGGTGGATATGATGGCACACCAGGAAGATGAAGAGAAAACTATATGTGTCTGGCTAATTTCCCAGTGACCATCGGTATGCCCTAAATATACTTTAATACCTCCAAAATAAAACTCTAGAGACGAGACTACAATTAACCAATTAAGTTTACTGAATAATCAAGGTGAATCAAAACAAGGTATACAAAGGTGCAGTTTGAATTTTGATGGTATAGAATTAGAATAGTAAGGAACAGGTATAAGGTATAACTGAGGTCAATGTAGATAACAGGAGGCTATGAGGTATAATGGTGGTATGTGCTTTGAGGTAACAACAACTATATTTTCTATGAGGTAAGCATTCTCTATAAACTCTGGGGCATGTACTATCTAATCTATATGGCAAATACAGATGAATTCTATGGCAAATACAGGTGAATTCTTTATAACATATACTATAATCTATAGACTCTAAGGCAAATACATTCTAATCTATGAGGCAAATACAGCTATTAACTATGGCATGTGCATCTATATTCTTTGGGCAAATACTTTCTAATCTATGAGGCAAATACAGCTATTAACTATGGCATGTGCATCTATATTCTTTGGGCAAATACTTTCTAATCTATGAGGCAAATACAGCTATTCTTTATAGCATAAACTATAATCTATAGACTCTAAGGCAAATACGTGCTAAGGATTGCCTGTTCCAGACTGCTAAGCCAGACCAGACACTTTCTGGCTAACTACTATAAGCTATGTCCAAAAAGAATGGAGCAAAAAGTCTTTCTACCAAGCTCTGAGCCAAAATGGGTTGAACCAACAGAGCTCGGCCTCTAGGAGGATCCTAAGCTACTACTCTAAAACTTAGCAGAATGGAACAGTCCACCTCTAGGGAAGTAAACAGAGGGTTAAAAACTAGGCCGAGACTTCACAGTGGACTTATCTGGATGTGAAAAAGTTTTGGTCGGAAATTTACACACATACAAAAAATATTAAACTTAAAGATTGACAAAAATCCAGAATTTTTCTAACTAGGAATGTTAGAAGTACTGGAAGACAAAAACAAGGAAATCCTCTTCAATTACCTGGTGATTGCAGCCAGAATAGTGTTTTCTAAATACTGGAGATGGAAAGAAATACCAAAAAAAAACTGGCACAAAAAAATTCTAGAACTGATGAATATGGATAAATTAACCTGCTGGATAACTCCTAATTTAGGTCTTCCAAAAAAACCAAAAACCAATTGGGACCTGGTTAAAGACTACTTCAAAAACTTCAACGTAGTTTTGACAATCTGAAACATGACAGTCACGGGAGGGCAAATATGAGGTAGTAGTAACTTTCCAGTTATTCTGAACAATTTTTATTTTTCTACAACCACCGAAGAATAGAAGGAAGTCAAACAATGTGTCAAGAAACATGAAAGAAACATGAAAGGCACTGCAGACTACTTCAACCAGAGAAGTCAGCCATAGCAGAGCACCTGATGAACCAACCTGGACACAGCATATTATTTGAGAACACAGAAATGCTGGACCACTCCAACAACCACCATGTCAGACTACATAGAGAAGCCATTGAAATCCACAAGCATGTGGACAATTTCAACAGAAAGGAGGAAACCATGAAAATGAACAAAATCTGGCTACCAGTATTAAAAAACTCTAAAATTACAACAGCACAACAACAGAGAGGAAACAAATAAGGACATCTAATCACCTCTCAACAAAAGATTGCTCCAGGCACTGCCAGGCAATCAAATGCTAATCAAGGTGGTCAGTTGAAACATTCACACCTAGCTCCAACAGACAAGAGTCATTTGTCCCACCCTGGATTCCACAGATATATAAACCCATTTTTCCTACTTCCAACAGACCTCACTACCTCTGAGGATGCTTGCCATAGATGCCGGCGAAACGTCAGGAGAAATGCCTCTAGAACATGGCAATAGAGCCTGAAAAAACCTACAACATCCAGTGATTCCGGCCATGAAAGCCTTCGACAATACATCAAACAATGTGTTTTTCTTTCTTTTCCTTCCTTCATCTCTTTTACCTCCTCCTTTCCTGCTTTTCTTTTTCCAAACTTTCCTATTTGGAAATCATTCCCCCACTTTCGATGTTTATTCTCTCTTTCAATTAAAACCCAATAAAAATATATTTAAAAAAACAAAATGTAAAATATATCTGCCAAAACTTGTTCTTAACCCTTGCCATATGTGCTTCCTCAAACTGAACAATGGTTTCTGTGATCTTTCTTGAGAAACAGGCAATGGGCATTTTAAAGATGTCTCATGTAAGAAAAGAAGTATCTCTTATAGACAAAATATCACCATTGGTCTATGGATGTGGAACAACCCAAAACATTCTGATTTATCAATTACATCTAGTGACAAGACTAACCATTAAATGGAAAGGCAGCACAGCAGTATAGGATGAACAGCAAATGTCACAGGGCACATTTAGCTCTTACCCCTCATCATTTGCTGGCTAGAGCCAGTCCTGACAAAAAGAAATGAATGGCATGTGCATTATATAAATGTGCATTTGACTAACCAATCATTATCAATAGGACAGATTGAGTATCCCTTATCTGGAATACTGAAGTCCAAAATAATCCAAATTCCAAAACATAGGTGATTGAGACAGTGACACCTTTGCTTTTTGATGAATTAATGTACACAAGTGGTTCCCAATATATGGTCCATGGACCACCAGTGATCTGCAAGAACAAAAATATGATCCACAGCCTCACCATCACTACACCATTGTAATGAGAGTGACTGGTCTCGCAAAACCCCATTATAGTGCCAACTAAAATATGGTTTTCTGTAGGCGAGCAGATGGCAACTATTGGATGGCAAATGTTCTGTATCAGAAACTAGAGCTGAGGTGGTCTAACCAATGCAGTTTTCTGAATCAGCACCCCAAATAACCAAACTGAATCTAAAGTTGACCAAAAACTGATTCGTAACCCTTTTGGTACTAATATTGGAGAGTAGTCCCTGGAAAGTGGTCTCTGGTCGAAAAAAGGTTGGGAACCACTGATGTACCCCATTTTTTGTTTCTTGCACAAAATTATTAAAACATATTGTCTCTAACACTACCTTATGCTATGTGCATAAAGAGCCCATGAAACATGAATTAATGTCATGTTCTTACTTGGGTCCCATTTCCAAGCTACCACATTTATAGATGCAAGCATTACAAATCCCCCCCCCCCCCCAAAGTACAGAACACTTTTGGTTGTACGCATTTCATTTAAGGCATACTCAATTTGTAGTACACAAATATACCTTAGAATGAATGCAATGTTCTGTATTATGCTGCACATTCAAACTTATAAAAGTACTTAATTTGTGCTAAGGCTCTCAATGCAAGGGCTCAATCTGACATCTCTCCCTAGTCTCAAAAAGTAAGGATAAAAGCTATAAACCATTCCTTTTCCAAAGATTAATAGGTTCCCTAGCATTCTCTCCAGTGCAGAATCTCTATAGATTATTTTCCTAATATTCACACTTTTGTGGAATCTTCTCTATACCAGGACTTTGGCACAGCTGGCTGGGAGTCAGCTGTATTAAGAGCACTAATGACCGAAAGTCATTAGTTCGAAGCCAGCCCAGGCCAGAGTGAGCTTCCGACCATATTTGTGACCAATTTTGTCTAGCTTGCTGTTGACCTTTGCAGCCCGAAAGACAGTTGCATCTGTCAAATAGGAAATTTAGGTACTGTTGCAACCCAGAGCAGGAAACTGGACCCTCAGACAACAATCCACCACACTTGACTTCAGGAAAACAATCCTTTTTTATTGATGAAAGATGAATACAAAATAGAGGAAAAATGCAAAGGTAAAAAGTCACAGTAAAAATCAGCAACAAGAAATGTCCATAAACAAGATCACAAAACCCACAGCAAAACTGCTGAATCCTGGAACCTGTTAGCAATCCACTAACCGTACTTGGAACAACTAGAAAACCTCCGAGGAACAAGGCCACTTGAATTAGGAGACCTGCAAAAGCTTGCACATGAATCTGGAACGATGCTTGGTCTGAAGCTGCATTCAGACCAGGCATACTTAAGACCGAGAAATCTATTGCGAGACACGCCTGAAGTTTATGTTTGCATTTCTCTCAATCTAGCTGACCTACGTAAACTTTGTGCTTCTCCCCGGCTCTGCCAAATCTGCCCCCGCCTATCCTCATTAGGCAGACCAGGTGTCAGATTCTCTGGAGAACTAAGACTGGGAGGAAAAGGGAGTGAAACTTCTCCGCTCGGCTCGGAATGCATGTTCTCATGGGAATTTTGACTTTCACTTTCCAAGGCTGTAGGATTTTCACTACTCAAACCATCATCATCTAAATTGGCCTCAGAATTCACATTGAATTGGCATCAGGAAATACAATCAGAGAATCAGGTTCA